ATTTTCCCTGCCTTTCGCGAAACGAAGAAAGAAGAAGAAGAACAAGAACTTAGTTGTGCTTAAACTCTGTCTCTTTGGTTCTTAGTGTTACTACCGTACTACGCCTACCTACACGAGTCCTTCTAATATCAATCCGTTGCCTGCCCGACCCCGTCAGGAGAAGGTGTACGACACCTACTCAGTCAGGAGCCGCTACAACGGGACCGTGTACTACATTTGTAGTCACTTCCGATCGGCCAGTTGTCCAGCTCGTCTGATCGTCAAGTCTAGCGGAGCTATTGAAGAAGTCGGCGAGCACGCGTGTGTGCGCGAATCTGAGACGGTGATAGAAGCTACGGAGGAGATGAGAGAGGTTCTCGAGGCCCTCGCGACTACCGACATGTCGGTTGCGCCGTCTGCAGTGCGGAAGGCTGCAATCCGACACCTCCATCGCAATCACGGCGAGAATACCAGCCTCCGCTACCTGCCCCGTCACAGGGCTGTCTCGTTTGTGAAGAACGTGCGCAAGGGGCTCACAGGCGGAGACGTGTTTCGAGCTATCGAGCTCGAACCTACGGTATTTGTCAGCCCTGATGACGAACGGCCGTTCCTACAATTTCATTACATCTACGCTCATGCGGGGGCATGATTGGGTTTGCGCATCCGTCGTCTGCTCAAGTACCAAAAAATCCACTTTTTGTGGACTGCACGTTTAAGGTGTGCCCAAAGCCGTTTGCACAGCTTGCTGTAGTCATGAGCTATGATCCTGCTTCGACCTCTACCTATCCATTTTCTACGTGCTGTTACCATACAAGTACCAAGATACCTACTAGCACCTGCTCGACAACGTCATCATGCAGTGCGATCTTCAAGTTGAGCCGCGCTGCGTTACGTGCGACTTTGAACTGGGCTTGGTCAACGCTGTGCGTCAGCAATTTGCTGGTGTCCCCATCGTAGGCTGCCTCTTCCACTGGAAGCAGGCGCTCCGTCGCAAACTGATCGACCTATGCATTCCAAAGGAGACGGTAAGTCACATGATGGCCAGTGCTGCCATTGATGTGCTGACCGTGATACCAATTGACGAAATTGCAGAGAAAGGGATTTCGTTCGTCCGTAGCCGCGTGGATGAGTCAGGTCATCGTGTCAAATCGGACACGTTTTGGCTACTTCAAGCGCACGTGGATGGGCACTTACGATCCTGCGTTATGGATCGTAAATGCGATTAGTGAGACGACAGACATCGTCAATCGCACGAACAACACACTGGAGAGGTTCAACAGGGACCTTAACGAGTCCTTCTCGTGAGCACACCCCAATTTGCTGGCCTTTATGGCTGTGGTCAAGCTGAAGTCGAAGGATCACGTTGAGCTCATTGAAGATATCCGCCACCATCGTCAAGAGGCTCCGCTACATGGAAACCTGGTCACTGTCGAGATTTCAGCAGCGTATCGCGCATTTTGCGAGCAACAAGAGCAGAAATACTGCGCAACTGTAGAGTTTGAGTAGGTCAAGTTCTTGATGAACAAACCCCTGAAAATCCCTGAATTTGATTTCTTTTTTTCCGCTCCCAAATATGTTCCCAGTGTGTCGTTCCCAAATATGTTTCCAACATCTCGTTCCTAAATACGCTTCAAAAGGTTCTACTAAAAAATACACCAGGAATCGCTATACTGTCCTAAATATGTTCCCAAGGTACCGCTCTGTTTGGGAATTTATTTGGGTTTGGGAACACATTTGGGACGCACTCTCAGCTATCAAATTGCAACAAATCGATTCCCTGAAGCATATAACGAAGGCAGTACACACTTCATTGCCACAACACAGCAGATCTAGTGTAAAGTTGTTGTCAATTTGTTACCGGTCGGTCTTGCTTTTTCATAGTGCAGCAACCATTGGCTGGAACTGGTCAAAGTCCTACCAGAGCAGCCAAACGGTGGTTATTCCCTCTGCCGCTGTGCTCATGTCCCCATTACGTGTACGCACTATCTCCTCTCGCGAGTCTACCGCGCTGTTCAACAAAATAATTCTAGAATTGTTTTTATTGTTTG